CTTCAAAATATACTCCTCTAAAGTCGAGATATAAATTAAAGATCATTCACCGAAATACTACATGTATCATAGTCAAACTTCACAGTTGATTACTAATTTAATAACTTAAACCTCTAAATTTGGATTAAGACGTGACAGGACTGTGCCATTTTATGCATCAAGTATAATAATTAATCTAAGGAAGTTTTGATATAATAATTATATAGTAATGGTCCATCTATATGCTAAACAACAATATTATTTCAAAATATGACATAACACGCTATAGTAAGACTTGTTTAGTAAAACCACACTACATAAATCCTCGAAACGGACTCGGAATGTTAGAAGTCATGAACATCAATAATATTTTCCATGAGCTACAGAAAATATTTTAGAGAAGGTAAAAGAAAAAGTGTACAAACATTTATTTGACACGTATTCCAATTTTTTCACTGAACAAAAGCAAAATTTAAAAAATAAAAAGAAGATGAGATCAACTTTGATTTCAACAAATTGTGGGTCCCAATTCCCTTATCATTATCTGTTAAGGTGTCAATTTACCATGAATTTCAGTGGTGATACATCCAGGGGAGGGAGGTTCGTTCCACTTTTCCACTTGCTTCTTTTTTTTTTTTTTTTTTTTTTTAAAAAAAATTTGTCCTNAAATTGTGTGAAATCCAATGTTCTGAAAACCGGACCGGTCATCGAACCGATCAACCTACTAGTTCAATGGTTCACTGGTCCGACCAGTGGTTGAACCGGTTGGACCGTTATTTAATTTATTGATATTTTTAAATATATATATATATATAATATTTCATAAATATAATTAACATAATTTTAAGTTATTTAATTTATTGATGTTTTAAAATATATAATATTTATAAATATTAAATATAGTTTACTTATTTTTTAAAAGATTGGTCCAATCATATATAAATTAAACAATAAAATAATAAGATAAAAATGTGAAAAAAGACAATTTTCTTCCACTCCCATGTTAAATCAATAAAATAATAAGATACAACACAAATTTACACTCACGCTTGACAAGGCATAGCAGTGGTAATTTACTACCCACTTGTCCCACATCGGTCAAGCAAATAGGTTAGTTGCATTATATATCTCTTAGAATCTATTAGCTCAGCATAAAAAAATTGACTGGTTGAACCGTTCTGGCTGGTTTTGATCGGTTGAACCGGATAATGACTGGGTTATGACTGGTTTTGCTGACATCCAGTTTTATAGAGAACCGAACCATTGAACTGACTGGTTCCCGGTCGAACCGGCCGGTTCGGTCCGATTTTCAGATTTCAGAACACTGGTGAAACCTTCTAAAATCTTATTTGTCCCAAAGCATGTGTGAAGACACATCATGTATAGATCTTATTCTTTACATGATTGCCTTTTATAATCTTTGTTATATTTCTTTTCATGATTGCCTTTTTATAATCTTTGAAGAAAATTTTTGGATTTTGAGGAAAAATGCAAATTCCGTAGTTTTGGAGTATAAAATATAGAAATGAATTCCAAGTAAGTTTCCTATATCAAGTTGGAGGAAAATGATGCAAATCGGACTTTTGATTATAATCGGATCGCGTGAATGATGGCGAGAGAAATTGAATTTTCATGCAAATTAAAAAGAATCGCGTGAATGATGGCGAGAGAAATTGAATTTTCATGCAAATTAAAAAGGATAAATTATGTTAGTTACAATTTAAATTTTAATTCCGATGAAAGCTTAGCATAGAGTTTACTTTGTCATTATTATTTCACTCATCATTTAGATTAATATTCTACTTCATAGATAAATTAGTTTCAGTTTAATTTCTTAATTCATAATCATCATATAAATTTGTGTTAGCTTAAATAATGTATAATCGTCATTGTTTTGATATTAAATTAATGTAAATATAATCTTTGTGGAATACGATCTTATGTTTTGTATGTTTTTGTTGTTATTTTGTGTGTTTATATGTGTTTTATTGTATGCGTTTTATTTTATTTTAAGTTTTTCCCGGTCCACTTAGTCGTTTTTGCTCGTATTTGTATTTTCGTTTCGTTTTGGTGTTTTGTCCTTTTTATTTTTCTTTTTACCTTTCATTTTGTAGGAAAATCGTATTCCGGAAAGTCAGCAAGAAATTCACCGGAAAATGCAGAAAAGTCACCCGAGAAAGTGCTCGCGTCCGAGGAAACCGACTAGTGCCCGAATGAACTGCGCGCGCGTGCGCTCTAGCAATTCGCGCTCGCCCGCAAGTGTCTATCCCAGCTCCTTGCCTTGCCCGCAAATTCTTCACCCACGCCCACGAAAGGCCTGCAGCTCGCGAGTTCTCCAGCCGCAAGCCGCGAGTTTCCTAACATCCAGCTCGCGAGTTCTTGCCTAGCCCGCGAATTTTCCACTAGCTCGCGAGTTTTGCCAGCCTTGCCCGCGAATATCCGATGCCAGCCCGCGAAACAAGCTTTGTCCGCGAGTCCCGTTGTTCCAGCACCATGCTCAAATTTGCCATTCATACCTTGTAACTGTGACTGCATATCCAATTTTACTGCTTTTACTTTAGAGCCCAACTATGCAATCTAGTTTTCAAGCTTCATTTTTGTGGCTTCTCTCTTTAAGACCTCAGCTTGCACAAATTGATCCATCTTTTTTCTGTGTCTTTGCTGCGCGTACCCTCTGCCATGCCCAGGATTGTGCTCAAGATACCAAATGTTAGGCTCTTAGGTGTTCTGTAATTATTTTTATAACTTTTTGGATTTCTCTGAATTTCCTGTAATTAATTTGAGGAAGATTTGAGGGAGGAAAGTTGGAGAGAAGAGTGAGACGAGAAATAAAATTCAATTATGCCAAAATCTTTTTTTTTTTCGTCTAACACAACACCACATAAATCCTCTAGTGTGCCCCAAGCCTAACAAACAACATCTAAAAACTATAATAAAACAGGACCTAAAAGGTTACAACCCAAACACTAATGATAATTGAGCCCAAAGGCTTTAACAATTGACTCAACTTGGTATATAAAATGCAGCGGTCCATCACTGAATGTGGACTCTTGGCCCAATGTTGTGATCCAAAACCCTTTGAGCTCTAGCCTCGGTTTCTTCACCTAGCCCTAAATCCCTCCGATCGATTGCAATAGCCTTATTCTTCTTTTTATCCTCTAACCCTAATCCTCCTTCAGCGGCCAAAATCCTGTCCACCCTCGCCGGAGTTCTGCCACTTTTCCACAAAGATCCTGCCTTTTCAGCCTCTCTCAGCCTTTCATCACCCAAAGACGCCAACTTTTCCACACTGATGGTCCGGAACATGACAAAATATGTACCAAGGACAGATTCCCTGAAAATCAAAAGAAGAAACCAAGAAATCCACTAAGCAAATGGTGGGACATGAAGATTCGTTTACACAAAAAAAAAAAAAAAAATATTCGAGTGAGACGATTAAGACACTGGGGAAAACAACAATGTGAAGGACAACCTTTGTCAAAAGTTGGGGCAATAATCCAGTAAGTTGGACCAAAGAACATGTGATAAATGCAACTTACACTCACCAACTGTTGGGAAAGCAATAATAGAGGAGTCTCAAACCTCTATAAAGACACAATTTGGAGGAATCAGAAAACACAGAGTATTCACATTGTTGACGACTGACTTAATTTATCAAGATTAAAAGAAAATTTATTGATTATGTTCTCAAGCACTCTCCCAAGCTCAGCTCCTGCAACAAACTTAGTCCACTCGGTGCAAAGAGACAATTACCGACCTCACACATATAAATGATAACCGACCTACTCAAGACAAAAAAAACCGACTTCGTGTAAAAGACAAAGAACCGACTTCGC